CGCCCACAGTCCCCCGGACTCAAAATTAACTACTATTTAGGGTTTAGGGTTTAGGGAATCATAGTACAGTACAGTATAACATTTGCAATACTGTTAATGATATAAGACTAGCAATAGGCCCGATAGGAATAGTAAGGATGAAATTGATTCTGGTGATAGCAATTGCAATGGTAATAGCAATGCAGCAGCGACATAGAAAAGAATTATACATAAATATGCTACTTGCAATAGTTCTAGGATTGGATGACTCCGTTGGTAGGGTTCTTGCGTGTTGTTCAAGAGCACCTTTTTGCATCCTTTCAGACTGTTTGCAGATTGGGGTTTCATAGCTGGGAGCCTCCGAAGAGAACGGCGACCACTCGTAGGTGTAGATCACCAAAGGTGCCTGCCATTCATAGAGAGTAACTTGGTTAATTTGCCGAAATTCTGAATCATAGCCCCTGAATATGTCTTCTCAAGCCAATCCCTTCTGCCCAAGACAGGGAATCTCCAATTCCGGACATTCCTCGAAAGGGCCAAGGCTACCGCCAAAAGAGATGACCGTAATAATGAATTGCTGGAAACTCTGAGGGTATTAATGACCCCATGATTTCCTCCGTTTTTCCGAACTTTCATGTAATTCTTTATACAGGAATTTATATAAAAGCTAGATGTGATTTTAATTGGTTTGATTATGGTTGTAAATCGTCTTGAAGTTCAATGTACATAGATTTCATTTCTATTCGTGTATATAAAAAATTGAAATAAATTCTACTGAGAGTTGACTTGCTTCTTTATTCTTATTGTGATGATTGGACTTCAATTGGTCTTAGTTCGATTTCTAAGTACGTACAATGTAATGGATTTACTGCCATTCTGACTCATGGCTTGTTCAAGACTATTGTAATTCGATCTTGCACGGATTAGATTTCTTAAGCAATCTTAAATTGAGCTTCATTACATTTAGTTAATTCTTAACAGATTGTAACTGTTTTTATTATAATATGACATTGTAGAAGAAGGTGCTAATTCAATATACTTAGATTTCATTTGGATTCTAATTGATGTTGGATTTTAATCGGACTTTACCGATTCGAATTTGCTTTTGGCTCAAGTCGTTTAAGTTTCATCCGAATTTAATTACATTTGAACTGATTCTTACAACATTTTTACTGTCGTGAATTAAGTTTTCAGTTGAATTTAATTAGATCACTTCCAAGTCTTTGCAAGGAGGCGGGTGTTTATTATTGGGGTGAAGGGATTCTTTCTAGTGTTGACCTGTATAACAAGACTTATCTGCAGGAAGAGACCTGACTTCAAGGAAGGCTAAATCAAGGAAGTACAGGCCGGGCGGGCAGATTTGATGTCTTCTTCAATGGAGGCTCTAACCGACCATTTGTCGTAGCGACCCGCTTGGATCGCTGCCTCGCAGGACACGCGCAACGGAGCGGCAAACATGTTGTGCATCTGCCTGTTCGCAGGTGCACCTGAACGACGAAGAAGGGTCTAAGAATGCCTGTGGCAAAGCTCGCCATCTTCATGGGCATATACCTGATGCTGCACACATGCCGTTGGGACCCAGTATCACTGCTATTATTACTACTACTTTTATTCTCCTTTATTCTCATTAGTATTACTATTGCTATTATGAATATTAGTAGTATTCAGAATATATGATTACTAATATCAATATTTATCAGCTATTTATAATGTCAATATTTTCAATATCATTAGACCCAACTCGTAACGTCTTCCTGAGCCAAGGCTGAGCGCCGTGCTCCAGCTCATTGGGCTGCACAGCAGCTGGACTCCTGGCTGCTTTATATATTTTTTGTTCAAAGCTTCTAAATGAAACCTTAGGGTTCAGGGTTTAGGGTTTAGGGCTTTAGGATTCCCAATATTAAGAGTAAGTTTTTGGTGGTCCCCATAATAAGGATTATAATGGGTTTGGGTCTATATGAGGGCTCCCCCCTATTTAGGATATTTAGGGAAACTACCATTTCTTTGTAGGCGGCAATTTCGTACGAAGGGCGCCAGCTGACCAATGCTTGGGCACCATGTCTTGCCACGACTTCTGCATTTAGCTGCTGCCTCTTCGTGCACCAAACCGGAAATGCCCATGCCATGTCCCTTTTGCTGCCCTCAGAAACTGCCTGCAATGGTTCCTCTAGGATAGAAAAACGGATCTCTGAGATTTTGGGCAGAAGTTCAGAGTCTCAGGAAGTTTTGGACACGAACCTGCAAAGCCCTGCAAGGTTACGCACACGGCTTCCCATGCAGCTGTCGGGGCCCCGGCATGCGTGCGTGTCGCGGCAGGCGAGACGCACTGCTGCCAACTCGTGGATCGACGTTCCTGTGACACACCCTACATTCGGATCCAGCCGGTAGACTATGGAGCTGAGACAGGGCGGCTAAGCGATCCCGCTCTCAGACTCTCTGCCCCCGATATCCCCAAATGAGGTTGGCGTCTGAGGTGCAGGCACAAAGACTGTAGCAGCCAGAGAAAATAACAGCAAGGCCGCCGCCTCGTTCAAGCAGGACCACCCCAGCGCAGCGGGCACCAGCTTTAATTGAAAGCAAGACCTGTTCCTGGAGAACCTGCACTGAGCTCCCAACAGGGCAGCACAAACAAGCCAAACTCCTACGGGCGCTGTAAGACCTGCAGGGCTAGAGGTTCATGCGTCGTTTGCAGTCAATGCCAGGGAGGCCTGCGTGAGGAAGCTGCTTTGGTTCTGCCGATCGCCTGCAACATGAGCTGAATAATCTCCAGGACCCTTACGGGCTGCCTATGCGGTATGACTCCAGCCTCTTGCATGCTTGTTAGCATCGTAGTCGTAGCCGGCTGGTGCCAGCTTTTGGAAAACAGACTGGATGCACAACCGGCCCAGTTTCAAACCTATCAACAGCTGCAAGCCAGCGCCGGAATTCGGGGCTCAAAGAGAGTTTTGCTTTTATACATCACCTGCACATGCCGCTATCTTCACAGGCAGCTCTCTTTTGCCGCGGGAGGGAGCGCTGCCGCCATCTAAACTCCTGGTCCCCCAGCTCAGACTTGGCCTCGATGGCCACAGGCAAGACCCCTCGCGGATTACCCTGTATTTGAGTGAGTACGAGACTGAGTGAATGTGACAGAAGGAGAGAACAGAACATGCAAACCGCTGCTGCTATGATCCTGTGACTGTCCTGAGTTGCAACCATTGCTTGCCGATCCCTGTTGCAGCAAACAGCTGTCATCAAGTTCTAGCTGCTAGCTTCTAGCCCCAGCCGCACAGCAGAAGTGCCAGAAGCACTGGCAGAGGCGCCAAAGCTGGCGCACTGCTCCAATGCTCTATTCTGTCCTCCCAAAGGATTTGGCTAGACTGGACACTGGCAATGCAAGAGAAGCGTAAGCCTCAATTCGCTTGAGATCACCATTGAGGTTGTTCAGCTTGGCAATTGCATCCTTGCTGAAGCAACAAGCGCGTCGAGACAAACAGCTGCCATGCCTCTAACAAGCAGGCAGGTCGAACATGGCCGAAGCAAGAACCCTGCGGGCCTGGAGCGCCTTATCATCTCCAGTCAACTTGTCCTGCAAACACACTACGTACAAACCACGCAGGAACCGACGGGCCTGTCTTCGCAAGTTGTCACTTGGGAAAAGCCCTCAAGAAATCATATCATATCATTTCAGCAGCTTCCTGCATAGCTGTGTCAAGCCCCAACTTTGGAATACATCCGCAGTATGTCTGCATGGCCTGCATCTCTTTCTTCTTGTTTTCAGTGTTCTCGAGATCTTCGGCACGCTTGCCCTCTTCCGCTTCCTTTTTTCTCGCTTCGTCCTAGCCAGCATCAAAGGAAACATACATTGACTCATCTAGCTCCGACACTCCGGATGCCCATCACCACTAGCCCTTCTCCGGCAGGCCTTCAGCCACGGCGTCTGCGACATCATGATGTTGAGCTGGTACTACAAGGCCAGAAACGCTTATGCGACCATTCAGCGGACCGTCCATGTAAACGTCAAGAAAATCACGATTTGAAACTATCAAAGTGTCCTCGGCAGCATTGTACTCTGGCACCACCTTCTCGAGTGTCTTGCGGGCCTGGAAAGTGGCTAGAACATGCTAGAATATGCCTGACATGAACTCATTGCGGCTTTGCCTGGCTGAGTGTCTGACATCATCTGCTTTCTGCTTAAGATCATCCCGTCTTTTTTTTGCAATGGCCAAGGCGACCAGGTGCGCCTGCTTCGTTTAGGGTATGGCCATCCTTGGATGGATAAATAAATCGAAAGATGGAGCCTAAAGCTTGGGACACAGCAATACTTTCTACACACAGGCTACATTCCGACTTATTCCTACGGGCAAGGACAAGCTGGCAAAGCGTGACCGCCACACCACAGTTTATCAGAGCTGCCATCCAAAGCATGTATGCTGTCAAGCCCAATGGCAGGACATCTGTAATCCTCTTATGGGTTCAGGACTTTACCTGTTAACTGCCCGATAGAGGACCGTGCAGTTTTGATCATTTCCCGCTGCCAGGCCTTGTAGGCATCTTCAGCTTTTTTCGCTTCTGTGTGTGACTGGTTGTAGAGGTCGGCAACACGGTCGACTTCCATCGCCTGCCTATCTATGTCCTGGCTCAATGGAGCGGATTCTCAGCTAGAGCCAATGCCCGGCTCAAATCGCCGCAACTTTACAGGATCTCTCCAAACCGAGGAACACGGACCGTGGATATCCTAAATATCGCACCTCTGCGCCAAAAGACTTCAAACTACCGCATCCAGCACGATGTGCTCGCGGACACGGTGACTAATATGCCATCTGACACAGCTGCATGGATGAAAGGACATATGATCCGGTTGCAGTCCTGATAAGTGCACAGTCATAATATCAATCTATCCATGTAGGCCGACATGTGTTGGCTAGCCTCCTTGCTGCGGCTCATGTGCGCAGAAGTGTGCGCCACAGTTTCGGCCTCTGACACAAACCGAGTGACACTCATGGAAGTGCCAGGGATAGATATTCTCTTGAGTTTTTCCTGGGTTCCAGTGTTACGGCCAGGGGTCTTCTCAGGTCGCAGGGCTCAAGGATTTCACTCTGGACGTGGTGTAGAAAAAGTTCAAGGCTTTAAGAGGGCTTAGATTCAGCCAGTGTAAATGAAGCAGAACGCAAGCCCCTAAGAGCACCCAGGACGTCCCAGGACCAAGTCCATAGCGTCACAGTGGCACACCTTGGTAAGCCTGAGGGGCTGTGGAAACCTCAACTAGCAAATACATCTTACATCCAAACAAATGGTGCTGGAAGCCAGACTAAGGCAAGAGCGCGCCTGGTCATGGACGAGGTGCGTAAGATTCGCATGCTGGTCATCGAGGGCCTTCAACTTCGGGTCCTTCAAAGCACTTCCCCTCCAGTTGTAGAACTCAAAGAGTTCATTTGCTTTGCGTCGTGAGTTCCATGACCCAAGCTGCTGAGTCCGTGCCCCGCTTGGCGACAATCTCCGTGTGGTTCTTCAGGGCTACAGTGTGGCCAGGTGTAGGACCGGATGCCTGAACCTCAACAGCCAATCATTGGTCTCGGATAACTTCAGTGTCAACAACATCAGCCCAAGCAATGCGCATGCCACCTGCTCTCAGCCTGAGCTGCTGACTAACGAAGCCTGCGAAGACATGAGCGAACAAAGATTGAGGGATAGAATACAGAACTTGGTTTTGACAAACTCTGATGGCCAAAGCAGAAGCTGAGGCATCTCCAGGCCTGTCGCTGCGGGATGTTGGACTTGTTCAAAAAATCATCTAGAGTCTTCTCCACCTGAAAAATTACACATGGCTGCCCATGCGTGACTTTCTTTTGCTCTGAAACATCATTTTTTTGCTATTCTATGTCGGAAGTCTTCCAAGAAAAACTTACAGCACCTAGGAAATCCTATCCATGCAAGGCGTGATCAGATTGGGCAGTGCTCGGGCAGTTGCACACGTCTCCAACAAGATCCATGCCGGGGTGGACATCGTGTGGATATAGCACTCCCGCATTCACACGCGGCCAAACATCTCACCAAAAAAGAGTGGAGTGTGTAATCACTACTACTATCACTACTACTTATCTTCCTCCTGTTACTAGTGCAAAGAGTGGTAGTCGTCGTAGTAGTAGTGCTACTCCGACTGCTCCTCCACCTCCTACTGCAAATTGGAAAGTGACGTTAACAACTGCGATACTACTTCAAAGACAGCTACTGCTGCTAGAGCTCTCTGCAAGTCCTCCCCTCCTGCTACTGCTGCTGCTACTGCTGCTGCTGTTGCTGCTGCTTCTGCTGCTGCTATACTACTACTACTACTACTACTACGACGACGACGACGACGACGACGACGACGACGACGACGACGACGACGACGACGATGACAACAACAACTACAACTATGACGATGACAACTACTACTACTCCTCCTACTACTCTTGCTGCTGCTACTGCTGCTGCTGCTAGCCAACAATGGGGTGCCGCCATCAGATAGGCGCAAGCGAGCGCCCCACATGGCTGACTGCACAAACTTGCAGGCAACCCCAGCGGCTAGCACAAGAATGCTCGACCACAAGCACGCCTCGCGGTGCCGGCGGCACGACGACGTCGACACTACCACTACTACTTATTACTACCATTGCTGCTAGTACTCATAATGCTAATACGAATGACAGGCATAATGATAAGCTGCTGTTATCTTTCAAATCCTCCGAATAACATGATTTGCCAAGGCAAAACTGCATACCAGAACAGCTCACAAAAGTCGGAGTTGTGGTCTCGGTGCTCTAAAACGATACAGCCTCCTCACGCTCGCCCTTGGTGAGGTTTGCTGCTTCCAGGGCCTGTTCGACCTCGCTGAGCCCATGGGAACAAAGATGAGCTCAAGCTTGAGGATTTCGGGCTCGGGGACAGGAATCAAAAATGAGCACGCAATTTGTCAGTGTTCATCTCTCTCTGTTGGGAGTACACACAAGAGATTTTCAAACAGGAGCTGTTCGATGAGCCTTTCAGGTGCTGTCCCAGCTAAGCCTCCACTTGGTTAAGCTGGATGTCTCTGTGATGATCGCAGAGTCTCTTCTGTCTTGCGCAAGACTCCTCCAACACCTCCAGGCCCTTGACGCTCTCGAAGAATTTCGGATCCTGCTACGTTTCCCTTTGAAACTCCTTCTCATATGTCGCATTCATTTCCTGCATACCGCCTGCCAGTGACCTAGACCGACCTCTAAGATCTCGAGCACACACGGGCTCAAAACGGTTGCAAGGCTCTGACGTCATCATCATACCTGAGATACAGCTTGCCCGAGAGATCTCAGCTTCAACCTCAGGAAGACCCCAATCCTGATGCAAATGAGGTGCTTTGGTGCAGGTTTTGAGAACGGTCCATCGTTAGCCACGGCAACCTCATCAAGAAGTGGCGGCTGCGTCTTAAGAAACTGCTCTTGTAGAATGTGTTGCACCAGAATGTCCAGCACTCAGTCACAAACCATCGAAGGCTGACCGCTCCCATCCAGTTCAACCAGCACAGCAGTAGTTCCGTTCTCCTATTGCGGCTAACGTTCCATTTGTTTTTCAGCTGCAGGTCTTCAGAGTGGCAAGGCTCCTGCGGGGCAGCGCTGCCCACGGCCAGGAGGAGGACCACGAGTTTCAGCATGCTGCTTTCAAACTGAGATGAGGCGGCACGCACACGAAAACACCAACCAGCAACAGCTGAGCAGCTGGCGAAGGCCTGCCTTTTCATCATGAATCCTCGAGGCAACTCATACGTTGGCACCAAGGGCAAACTTCGGTGACACCACTGGCAGATTGGGACGCTGGCAAGTGCAGCCCCGCAGGATTTCCGGGGCCACTGAAGCCAAGCAGCAGCGAAGGCATCTGTATCTGTGTGACTTGTGCGTGGCTCGTAAAGTGCTTGCCGGAACCAAGTTTGCACATGATTCCGGATTTTGTGCCCAAACCCCCAGATGTAGAGGCGCACTGTATAAACACTGGTATAAACCCTGGCTGACTGTGCAGACAACTCCCTGTTTCTGTGCTGGTCAACGAGTTGACTTTCAGATGACACCAGCACGCATCAGCGGCTGGAGAACTCGGATCAAGCTTCAGCACCGATGGCATTTTGGACCACAGACTGATAAACTTAGAATCAGCAGCATCTTTGAAGCTCGAAAACATGGCTGCCTTCCTCTACAGCGTCATCGGAGTCCTCCTTCCTGGATTGTCTCCTTGAAGAAGACAGGACTCTACGAAGCACAGCCCCTTCCTCTCTTGGAAGTCCCGTCGCATCAGCACAACACAAGGCCTTTCCCCACTGGCCGAGTGCAGGCTCAGCATGGTACACATCACAGATCTTTACGGAAATCATACACGCACAGCAGTATCTATTCTTCTCTTTTAGCTGCTTACAACTCCAAGGCGCACTGCAAGGACATGGCAGGTGCCAGTCTGACAAATCCTACTCCTACAGTAAATTCTGTAGCAATGAGTTTGCCGGAAAATATTCACATCTGGATTCTCCTGTCCTGCAGTCATACTCCAGCGTAAAGAAGAAACTTGTCTGCCCCTACCTGAAGATAAAATTGTACATACGTTTCTCAGTATGACCCAAACAGGTTGCAGAATGTCTCGTGCCAAGGAACGTCCACCCTGTGAGTGGCCGTCAAGGTTGTCAACGAGCTTGCTTATGCAGGAAGCCGGTGAGGACACTCAACTCTGCACAGAGCCTACGTTATTTTTCAGGTTGCTGGCGTTCCTGCACTTGTGTTGACACAGGTGCTTCCTCTTCTTCCTTCTGGCGTCTTGCCATGAGGATATTCGCAAAACTCCTGGTCCCAAAAGACCTAAGTGGAAAGCCAAACTGCACTGTGGCAAACCTCCTTTATTCTCGTAATTGCTACGCATTGCAAATTGCGAAATCTTTGCTATATTGCTGTCCTGAAGGGCCACTGCCTGGTATTAACGGGAAGGCCCACAAAGCATCACAGGAAATAATCCGGCACGAGCTTTCTCGAGGGCTGACCGCGCGCATCTGCTGGCGCAGCCTGCGACCACTTTTCTGGGCTCGAAAACTGCAAGAACCAGGCCAGTTTAGAAGTTGTCAGGAGGAGCTCTCAGAAAAGGATGTGCCTCAAAGATTCGGAAGGACTGCTTCAGGTTCTCGTCGAACTCTAGAATCGCAGCCACATTTCCACACCTGCTGCTCAACGTGCTGTTGAAGAATCTGCTCCAGCTGCTTTGACGGCCTCATCTTTTATGATCTGGGGCTGCCACCGGTAGCAGTAGTTTGGAGCAGACCAAACAGTCACAAGAGCCTAACATCATGGAACCAACATTGTATGACGAAAGGGTCTGCAGGACGACACACCTGCCTCATTGAACATCCACTTGTAACCCTCCATGACTAGCTGGTGGGCTCGTCCAATGAGTTCAATACCGTTGGTCTGGTTAAACCTGAAAGCATCGCTTGACTCAACTGCCAGAGACTAAGCACATGCGCAGTTAATTGAATGCAAGTCCGAGACAGAGGCAGGCTAGCTAGCAAATAGGTTGGATGGTACACTATCAAATCTTTGCTTGGAGTAGGTCCAATCCAGTGACTTGGATTCCACAGGTGCTGAATATCTAGAAGGATAAGCGTCTGACCCTTTGACCACGTCGGCACCGAAGAGGTAACCAGCACCTCGAGGCGAAAGGCCCCAGCCGTCTAGGTCCTGAAGCAGGTGAAGCAAGTGAAGCAAGTGAAGCAAGTGAAGTGATAAGGCGAAAGCCTTTAAACCGCAAAGTTATTTCAAACTGCCAAGGCTGTGCAGGGCTTTGAACAGCTTTAGGTACATCAGAAGGAAGCTTCCACCCTTTGCGATGAGACTCGTCCAAAGACCACAAGTCCTTGGAAGCGTGACAGCGTTTACAGTGTAAGATTCTACTAGATATGTCAAAAGCCGGAGTGATCTATACCAATAGAAATCTTTGAACCGACTGTGAAAGCAATCATGTGGCCAGCCGCTTGTGTCTCTGACTGGGTCCTCTGGGTCTGACCACATCAGGTCGCACATTGCACCTTCATGGGGTACCTTCCCGGCTGCTCACGGCCCACTGTTTGAGAAGCCATTATGCTGAGACATCACCAGATTGCGACAACAGAGTCCCTGTGCCTCCTGCTTGCGATCAATACTTCGCACATCATCCAGGGTTGTGATTGCTGGAGAAAGTCCCCCATGAACGCAAAACACGCGATCCTGCAATAAGAATGGCTGATAAGTTCCGGGCAATACCGGACGTGAAGCACAAACCCACAGCTCCAGCACAACTGCCAACTGCGTTCAGCGGCCTCTATAAGGGCAGCCAGGGCCAAATAGTCGAAGATTTCTGTGCAGTAGCGCCACCTGGATGTTGAGTATCCGGCGACTGTTCGCTCTGGGAATAATACGAACATTCTCAACACTTCTCCAGCGACTGTGTTGCTACCAGGCCACACATTTACGCTACCGTACTTTCGCAGGCATTCATCGTAGAAGCCATAAACCTGCAACAAGTCTCCGGCATTGCAAGGCTCACAGTATGACGTGAGAGTTCGACGCATGACCAGCCTGAGTTATCTGGCGGCTCTCATGGTTGCCCCGAATCAACGTTATTCGGTCGGGGTAGCGCACCTGAATCGATGGCAACATCTTGGTAAGTCGACAGGTTGCGAGCGTTCCGAGTTTGTGAAACCATGCGACAGCACTTCATCGCCTTCAGCGCCAATAACAGCAAGAAAGTCTCCACCTCAAAAGGTGAATATGGGTATGTAGCTCTCCCCATTTTGCCGTGCAGTGTGGCTTGCAACGCACAAAAGCTTTGACATCTGCCAGAAAACAGTTGCACGTTGAGGGTTGGGCGCTGTAAAAACCTCTATCCACGAAGTCGCCCATGAACAAATAATTCGTATCAGGGCAATCACCGCCTACCTGACACAAGTTGCAAGCCCCACTCACTTTGGATGTACGGCTTCATCAAACATGCTTCAATTGGCCTTGAAGAGTTCCACTAGATCGTAGAACTGCCCATGGATATCGCCACAAATCTGCAGGACGCAAAGCGTGGAACCCCAGAAGATGAAACAAACATGTTGCAGGCACAAAATCGGTTCTAGCTGAGACGGCTGCTGTGACAGGCGCATCTACCCGCTGCACGTTGCACTCCTCCACGAGGATCTCACGGGCTTTCGAGCACAGGGCCTGCAAAAATGTGTCTGTCATCAACGTGCCCTGACTGCCCGACCGCCACTTGCAGCTCCATACTTGACACCTAAAAAATTCTCAACCCTTCAATCCGTCCAAAATTTCCTGCTGCTGTTTACAAGTGCACAAAATTCAACCAGCGTCCTTGACTTCAGCTTCCTTGATGTACTCGCACCTGAAACACAGAGCTTGTTGGCAAAACCTTTTTGATGGGCTTCGGTAAGCGCTCTAATGTCACTCTACTACTGGACAAACAATTGCGGGCATGGCAAACTTGACACCTTGCACATCCAACTCTGCGGGAACGGCATCCGTAAAGACAAATGCTAGGATCCGCGCCTTTTCAATTGGTCGATCTGTCTGTCTAAATCTGAAACACCCATGGCTTCTTCAGCCGTACATTCCAAAATTACACGCACCTGAGCCAGACATGTACCAACGAATAAACCGTTCAACCAATTTCGAATCTTGAAACAAACTGTATTTTGTCATGGTTTATGGCGTGCATGGTGTTCACATGACAGGCGAAAACTCCATCAGTGATGTTCTTGTGCTTATCCATGCAACTTTTGATGACAAAAACATTGGAAAATGTGAATCTTCGAATGAGCAGAATGAGAAAAGCTGAACAATGCGAAGTGTGAGTTGCAAAGGACAAAGGACATGTACAAACACCGTGAAAGCATTCGCATGATTTGAAAGTGCGAGCTTGCAAATTTCATGATACCTTTATTCAGACCCTCTACAGAGTGAGCAAAAAAACATTTCTTGGCGCCCAAATGAAGAAAACTGGATAACAAAAAACATGGGTGCTGTAGAAAGCATTTTGGGGTCACAAGAAAATCAAGTCTTAATGCGTAATGGTGATTGCAACTAAATTGGAAAGCTGTGCGTGTTCCTAACGGACGTTGCAACCGCAGAGCTTTGTCCGCTCGTCATATGTTTGCTTGCTTGTGTTTATCTGCAATGCATTGCAGACGTGACCCTATTGTACTGTTGTTTCCTAATGCAACCGCAAGTTTAACCTGAGAGGAATCAGTTAAAACGATTTTGCAATTTCATGTATTTCAAATGAAACTGCTGTCTGACTTCGGCACTTTCCTAACTTGGAAACAGCATGGGTACTCAGAAACTTACAAAGAACCGTCCGTCTATGGACCCACCTGCCCATCCGTCCATCCGCCCACCTGACCTCACTTCACTCCAACCCCATCACCCCGTCCATCCGATGGCCCGTCCACTCAGTTACCACATGAATAATCAAACAGTGTTCAACTTATGCATATATGTGAGGCATTCAAAGTAAACTCAACAGGCCATCAAATGAAGAACCATGTCCTCATAAATTCTGCAAATGCAACATCAATTTTGAAGTCCAATGGCAAGCACCCAGTCCTAAAGACCATCTTTAACATGCGTATCTTCGCTAGCTGGGGAAAATCACGTAAGGTGGGGTGGTTGTGCACGAATTTGCTTCCAAATGTTTGGGAAACTTCCAACTCTGGGAAACATGTTTTCCTTGGTAATGATGGCAACTACGGTGAACCAAAACGAAATTGCAAAGTTTGTTTTCTTATGGCTCCAAATTTCAAATCATACGTCGTGTAAAGGGTGATTGTGTTGAAACTAAAACAAAAGCCAAAAAAACAATGGTGTGAATTTACCAGCTGTTAAACATGTGATGTGATGCTGTGGCTCACGCGTTGCGACCCCATCGGTGTACGAAACGAATCGTACAAGGGTTTATCAACATCTCGGAACGATGCCGTTTCACGAGCAACGACCCTCATGGTGGGGTGAGGTGGGGCGGGGGGGGAGGCATTTTCAATTCGATTCTTGTGTTGAAATCTGAAAACTTGCGCAAGCTCTCACGTTGAATTATCCTGCGCGTGGTTGTCGCTTGCCGCCTAAGTATGCCGGCAACAAGAAACAGTGCCATTTATGAATGGGGTACCGAAGCTGCGGTTTTTTTTCGCAATTTCGGCGCAATTTTCAACAAAATAAAATGGTGTAACTTCTCAGTTTTCACGCATGGAGTGCCAGTCTGCTTACCATCTGGATATTTTGGGTGAATTCCTATATGGGGTAAGGGCTTTGAGCTGAGCCACGCTTCCACATGCTTCCGCGTGTGTGTACGGTCAAAACTCATATATCAAATTCACTGTTTACTTAGAACTGATCTGAAATTTGGCCCCCGGGCAAGTTCCACGACGCCATGGTATATCACTGGTGACGGTGTGTTTTCTGCCAAAAAACATTCGTACTTGATAGTCAGATGTCTACATAGATGGATTGCGCAACACTGAATTTGTCCGCAGTAAATGCATTTCTGCGTATCTTTGTAGGTTGTGAATGCAAATGTGTTGCAAACTGCTTGGAAGGTGCGTGTTTGCAACACCCACATGTTCAAAAAACCACTGAAAATCCACTTTGCGCCAAGCTGATAGCACCTGTGTCCGTTAAACCTTTTGCGCAACCCGTTCCATTCAAATCATCCAAATACCATCATTTCAGCCTTTTTATGCGTGCCGTGATACTCTGATGCAACCGTTAATCGATGCCAAACCATTCACGATCGCTCGAGTGCAATTTTCAAAACATTGTGCGTAAACAAAACATTAAATTATTGAATTATTGAGACAGCAGGAGCTTCGAAGTTGTGATTTGGCTTGCAACTAGTGACAATAAGCTTTGGGCATGGCATTCACTTGGACTGTGGCCAGTAGCGTGAATGTCGTCTTGCTGACCAGCTTGCTAACATGCTTTTTGGCGCGTCGTTCCAACAAGACAAAACTGGCAAGTCACGTGGCTTTGCAACTCGCAAACGTTGCCTTTTAGTGCCAAGCGTGCGAACATTGTCGTTTGGAATGAGAAGCAATGATAGTTTGCAAGGTGGCATGTTGCCTTACAACTTGCGGATATTGAATTTAGTATTTAGCGCAGTGGTGTTCAGCCAGTGTTTACAAATTTGATGTTGCCTTGCAACATGAAAACATTCAATTTGAACGCGATGTCCAACCCCAGTCTAAAGGTGTCGTTTAGCTGACAAGATTTTTGATTATTGGTGCGGCGCGCAATCAAGTCAGGAAACTGTCACGCTGCTTACCGCTTGCAAACATCGGGCCCCGGGGGGCTGTCCAGCCAAGGTGCTTAAGATGTCACATCACCAATCAGTTTGCGAACATTTGATTTAAGCTTCGTGTCTGAGATGTCATTTTGCTTTGCAACTTGCAGACATTGAGTTGGAAAACGCGATGAACAATTGGTGCTGGGTAATACGTCTGGTGAAATTGGCAGTTCCTTAGCAGAACGTGTCGCTTTTGATCTCAGTACGTTTTACAGGACGCAGTGAAAGTGAGCTGGCTTTTTCCTACTACAGAAATCAGATCAGATGCAACCAACCAATTTCCTATGGCGTATTCAGCAAACGGGCAGTTGAGGTGTTTGTTGCCACGTATTGCGCTACGCGTCAAAACTCTATATTTTCCTGAGCACATTCGCCAGTGGGCTCACCAGCTGCTTGATCTCGCACGTTAGGCTGTTTCTAGCATGCATTCAACTGCTGGCGTAAAGAGACCTGCAACCTGGTTGCTCATTGGACATCCGGGTTTTCCTAGCCAAAATTGCTGCCAACAGACGCTGAAGACCTCATTTGAAAAACACCTTCAAACACAACGTGAGGCAGAGATTTTTTTTTCGCGAGCACTCTTTCTCATTGCAATCAGAAGTAATATGCCCTAGGGAGTGGACCTGATTTTCAGACCGCTACAGAATTATGAGAATCGCTTCGCTCTCAACTCACGGAGGAGCAAGGTAGGGCTGCACCAACGAAACCGTTTGTTTTTCTGCTCTGGTTGCAGTCTTGAGCCAACACATTGTGTTGACAACGTTTGTCATGCTTCAAGCACTTCAAAGTCTCTGCGCCAGTAACCACTAATCCATATTAGGATGGGTCAACTTTCCAAACTGTACAAACTTTCTACTCCCTACTTCCTTCTCTTGGTTTCTTTCTTGTTTCTTCTTTTCACCAACTTGTGGTGCTAGGCACTAGTTACCTGAGTGAAACTTGCCTGGATACTCATGTCCTCACACTCGTGTAGTTGAACTTCTCCCGCTTTCACTTCTGCCTATGTACAAATATACAACTTTACATATGTACATGGCCTCACTTTTCTCAGAAGTCAACTTCCAGCACGGCATTGGTCACACTCTCGAAGTTGTCGTCCAACGGCCTCACCTCTGGACATTGTCCTGAGTTGATTGTCACTGTGATGACGTAGCCGTGGACAGTTGGGCGCGCGGTAGCACACCCCCGGCCTCGTGACCTTGACCAAGACTCTGTCTGCCGCCACAGGTCTTCTGAACTCTGCTGCATTGGCCTCTTGTCTTTATTCAGCCATGATTTCTTCTCTTTGTCGGTCCAACTCTCTCTGTCTTTCTTCTTCACGTTGTCCTCTTTCCTCTTCTTCACCTCGGCGTAGTTCCTGAATGATCTCTTCTCTCATCCAAGCATTCAACCTTGCCTCTACTTCTTCTGGACTTCCGTACTCTCCTTATTCCTCTTGAGGTTGCGGTCCTGGTACACGTAATTGGGTTCTCCGACTAGTTCTGCTTGCTGTTGATGTTCTCAGCCAGTTATGGTTGCTATTGAGGTTCTCCATCTGGTTCTGGACGCTGTCGATGCTCTCCATCTGGTCCTGCTTGTTGCGTGGTCCTGCATGTGGTTCTTCTTCAGGTTCTGCTGGTCCTGTCATCCTGTCTCACATGAACCAAACAACAGTTCCAATGAAAATGCTCATCAGAAAACCAAACAAACGTCACGCACAAACCTTATGAGCTCATCCGAGAAACTCCTTACCTTCCTCACGCGCGGAAACAACTGGGTAGTTCATCTCCTTCTCACCACGGACACCTGTCCCTTCTAGCAGCATCACCACTTGAACCAAACGTGCTATCGAAACAACAGCTTGTCCTTCTTGGCAAACCCTTTTACAAACTGCCTTGCAAACTTCCTCCTCACCAACTTTTTCCAAGGGTTCCTCACTACTTCTTACCCTTGGTAGGTAGAACATAGGCGCTCTTCTTGCTGTTGTAAATCTTTTTGTGTTAAGGTCACGAAGCTTTATTGTCATTGGACCGTGACATATGTAATCAAATTCGCAATCGATAACCAAATCAATATCAGAATATTTCTTCCTCAATCAAAATCCATTCAATCTCGAACGTCTTCTTTTCACTCGGTGGGGTAAATCATATTCTTTGCGTTTGTTCATTCCCAGCACATGGC